ATGCAACAGAGTTCAGTGCAGAAGAAGAATATGTATTTGCTCTTACACCTCCTGCAGGCTTCCAGCAAAGTCTGCTCGTGGCGTCTGGATGAGAGCAGTGCCCTGTAGTCCCACTGCAGCAGCACTGACACGCTGCATGGCCATATCCAAGCCGCTGCTTCTTTTTGTGACTCAGCTTAATGCCTGTGGCAGAGCTAATTCTCCTGCTCCTGTGTTATCTTTCAGGGAACATTATTTGCAAGGCACATGGAGCTCTTTGATAAAAACTGTTTTGGAAGTGCTAGATAATTACGGATAACAGCTAAAAGCACTTTGTCCATTAAAAACCTTTCACAGCTTTATAGCTGTCTTCTGAAAACTTGAAACTTCGCAGTCTGACTCTTAGAAACACAAATGTAATTTGAAAAAGAAGCTCTTTTAATTGCCAAGCTCCCATTATTTTTACTTGCAGTGACCACGTAGCAGACTTCTGCGTATTTATGTCAGAGATTGATTGAAAGCCAGGTAATTAGAGGGCTCTCCCAAGTCAGGTTAAGCCAAGTTTATTTGATCTACCTTTCAGTTGGTGTAATTGGATAGGGTTTATTAGTAGGGTTTATTATTCATTTATAGTCATACTAAATTTATGTACCTTCCCTAGAAATGTCTCGATGCAGGTAGCCACTTTAGAAACACCAGCCTGGGCTATATGCATATGCAATTAATACTCTAATAATAATTGGCATGTATTGTAAGCATAGCTTTTATAGGAACCCCATGGCATTGTGGTAAATGCCGTGCAGACCAGCGGGAGGACAGGCTGAGCAGTCCCAGTGCTGGGCTGCTCTGCTTATGCTGGCTCTCCACGAGGTCTGCCTCTTCTCCCAGTGATGCAGGGATCCGCCTGAGCTGCCCCATGCGTGGAAAACCGTGGAGCCATGTTCGCTGGTGGGGAACTGCTCATGAAAAGCGAATGTGCCTGTGTCCAGCAGCGGGCAAGAATGGATGCAGCTGTCCCCAGGGAGCCAAAGATTTCTGGATGTTGAAATCTCTCTGCTGGATTTTGGCAGGATTGGGTGCTCCAGCTGAAGCACACCTGAGCTAGCAGCTTTTTAGAGAGCTTCTGCTATGGATAGCACAGGACCCTGCCCGAAAATAGACCCCAAGGCTCTTTTGAGAGCAAAAGAGAGGGGAGCTCACTTGGGAACACCATTTATTTCAGTCAGGAGCTTTGAAGAGCTCTGGGAAATTGGAGCCAGCGTCCCAGGTTTGTTGGCAGCCTTGGGGAGCAGAGTGCTGGCAGCGGAAGAGGTGGAGGTGAGCCCGGAGGTGTCCTTGAGGCACTGGCTTGAGCTGGCTGCAGGAGGAGAGCGCCCCGTGCCAGCTTTGTACTGCCAACCTGACCTTGCCAGTACGGTTACCCGGCTCACCAGCCGCTCTCCACCGGCACAGCCCTCGCCAGCAGTGGCCTTCCCCAGCTCGCTGGGGGTGTCAGCAGCCCAGCTCCCACTCCAGCATTGCCCTGCAAGAAATAAAGGAGGCACCTGCAGTGCCTGTACTGGGAATCGTATATATTCTTCCAGAAATCACACTTCTATTGCAGAAAAAGCCTTTTTCTCCCTATTCTGCAGGATTTGGAGAGACATTGATCTCTGAGGTATCTACCTGACTGCTGCTAGCAAGCAGTGCAGGATTAAGTGTCTGGTACTGAATGACCTGCAGAGCCAGTGTGCCCAGCATTGGTGTCCCAGCGACCATCAGGTTTCTTCCATGTACAGCCAGTTTTTGAGCCATTTTCTGCCGCTCAGTGTCACAGTTCACTTACGTTTGCAGCTGGATGAGGTAATTAGTACCAGCTCTTCAGAGAAAAGATTTTTGCAAGCAGTGAGAACATTAGCATGATCTCAGCTTGGAATTAATTGGGCTGGGCCAGGCCTGGAAGAGGAGCAGAGCTGGCAGCTGGAACACCTCCTGAAATGGGTGCATTTTAGGCTTTCCAAAGCTCTCTGACCCCAGGGCTGAGTTGGAGCGAGCTGGGTGCCTCACCTCTGTGTCACAGCAATGTTGGTGACACTTACTTTCCCTGTCAGGTCACCACTGGGTTACATGGCTAAGACACCAGGACTGAAACGCAGATGCAGCGCTGCCGTCTCCTTACTGGGTAACATTTTGTGCTTGTGACAGATGCAGCCACGGGAGGTGATCTCAGAAGGGGCAGGGTGGTGGTACCTGGCTGTGTTTCTGGGTCACACTGTCACCCAGGAGATGGGTGCAGGTGGAAGCTTTAATGAGGCAGAGCTCTGAGACGGTCTGGTGGCCCGTTTGGGTAAGCTGTGGTCTCGGGAGATCTCTTGGCGATGACAAAATTGGCGGCAGTTGTGTTGTCTCATTCTCCTGAGAGGAGCTCTTGGAAAATTACATTTTCATTGATTCCGTATTCATCAGCTCTGCTGCAGCCTGCTGGAGATCGGTGGCTGTGGTTTGGGATGTGTGTGTATTCTGCTCCCGGCCGGCCGGTCCTGCTGCATGGCCTTGTTCAGCCCCAGGAGCTTGGAGGCGCCGCAGCCGTCGGCCCCGCTCTGATTTATGGCAAAAGTAGGAGCATCCAAAGCCGTGGGGGTTGGTTTTAAGTCTAGCTCTGTGAAGCAGTGCAGGTTCTGCTTTTGGGCATCATTTTGGGCATCGTTTTTGAGCACATCTCTGCTCTGGAAGGAGGTGAGCCCTGGAGCCGGGTGGAGCATGTTCAGAAACAGCCTGTCAGGGATGAATTACACAGCGTGAGGAGGAGGAGGAAGGCTCCCAGCCACCTGCATGGTCCCCCTCTTGCTTCTTCAGCGGCGGAGCTCAGGGTGTCCTCTCCATCTCCCCAGGCGAAGGAGAACAGCAGACCTGGGGGAACCGGCTTTGCTGCCTGGGCAGGACACGTAGCCCTGTCCCCAGGTCTCCAGGCACACAGCAGCTCTCTCTTAGTCACGACTTGTTTCTAGCAGGATTAAGAGAAGCTTAGGGACCTTGAGATTTTCCAAACCCCTTCAATTAACTTCTGGCTCGCAGGGTTCACGGAATTTGCCTGAATTTATGACCCATTTTTCCTTTAAATGCCTCCTTGTTTTTTTTTTTCCAAGGATGACTCAATTCCTTAATGTTTTTCTAGCTAAAGGGCATCCTGTGCTTTGATACGGGGATGGAAGAGGCTCCGACAGCTCTGCTGGCACCAGGAGCAGACCCTTGCCTCTCAGGATGCTGCATCTTCTCCAAAGGTCTCCGAGGCAGAGCAGGCACCAGGAAGGTTGTTCAGTTGAACTTTAGACCTCTCATGCCTTTAGAAAGAGGAGAAAAGATTGTGTCTGGTGTTGGTTTGCAATGCCAATGTTTACGTGGGCATGCCATTAAAAAGGTGCTCTGCCCGTGAGCCAACGTTTAAAGGTTAGGGTCAGAGTCATTTCCAAAACTGCGATTACCTCATGTGCTTGGCAAATTCTGTTTTTATAGCAACTTTCCAGTCATGTAAATACAAAATCATCTTTTTTATCCAGCGTGCTTTTTAAATCATTTTTTGAAGCTGCCAAATTTGTTTTATGTGACTGTGAAAGAGAAGGCTGCCTCTGGCTTAGACCACACATGCCAAGTTACCAATTTGTGTAGGCTGCTCCAGTGTTTGTGCAGCATTTACAGCACCTCAGATGAAAGGCTCTACAGAAGGGCAAAGTACCCTGATTTTTATTATTGCTGCTTTTGTCTACCTCTGAAAACGGGGCTAGGACTGGGCTGACGCTTTTGGTCTAGTGATGGCACCACATAGCAGAACCCCAGTGTGTGGGCTGGAAGCAGAGACCAGAGCAACATCCCGAGAGTCCGGAAAACACGGAAGGTTTAAAGGCACTGAGGTTTTGGGGATGGTGGCTGCCTTGCCACTTTGCCTCCAGAGCACGTCCCGCTGGGAGCTCCATCCCCTCCGACCTCCATCTGCGCTGGGAGAGGTGCCCAGGGGAGCCACAGGGAGCAGGAGCAGCCCTGTCTGCACAGCCCTGCAGATGTAGGTCAGCAGAAAGCTGTGCTGAGCTGTTTCGGCCACAGCAGCCATGATCCTGAGGAGTCTGAGGGTGTTGGTGTTCCTGTCCCCAAGCGTGCACCCAGCCCTGGGTGCTCGGTGTGTGCTGGTGGTGACCTGGGTCTGCTGCCGTGGGCCTGGAGGGTTCTGCCTGCCTGGAGCTTACCGATAGCTCCCCAGGCAGCGGTGCTGTGGGAAGGGCCGTTCCCTCTCAAAGCTCAGGGATGGGTTTCTTCAGCACAAAGGGGCTGAGCTAGAACCTGTGCCCTCCTTGTAGCTGCCGTTGGCCCCATCCAGCCTTTCCAAGTGCTGTTCGCTCCTTCACCGGCCTCGGCATGTGCCAAGAGAGCTGGTGGTCTGAGCAAAGGACGCTCCTGTGGGCCCTGGGTGTTCATTCGGCACCTCCGCCCAGGCTGGGCAGTAGGGGCTGTCAGGCCTGCCCACGCTGGCAGGTGGGCCGATACTCAGCAGGTCGCTTGTATTTTTGCACGGCAGGTTGAAGCCCCAGAAGAGACCAGGCAGCGGCGCCTCCCAGCCGTGCGAGAACATCGTGGTCGCTTACTACTTCTGCGGAGAGCCGATCCCTTACCGCACCCTCGTCAAAGGGCGCGTGGTAACGCTGGGACAGTTCAAGGAGCTGCTGACCAAGAAAGGGAACTACAGGTAAGGGCTGCTCCCCGCATGCCATGTGGTGCCAGCAGACTGTCAGTGACCCCTGGCAGGTGCTGCTGCCAGGACACAGCGGTGTGGCCCCCACCAAGGCGAAGGAGCGTGGTGGAGGTAGGTTGGGGGCTCCTGGATGTCCCAACAGCCTTCCAGGAGAGCTCCCACCAGGCGTGGGGGATGTTGCAGTGGAGCCAAGGCTGTTGAAGAGGCAGGTTACAGAGACGGGGCAGGCAGATTGGGTTTTGCACCAGAGATGTCCTGCATCAGAGTTCACACCATCAGCAGAAGCTGCTGAGCTGCCCTGCAGGGCCCTGCGAGGTCCTGGGCTGGTGAAGAACAGTGTCAGCCAGAGCTCAGTGATGCTGTGAGGAACTCTCCAATTTCCAGAACTGTTTTGGCTCCTCCCAAACTTTCCTCCAGTGAGGTCGAGGGAGTTGGGTCCTGCCAAAGTCCCAGAGTAGCCAGGCGTGGGGTGTATAGATCCCAAAGTTCCCCCTTCCAAGTAGGAGCTGCCATGGGAAAGCCTGTCTGGAAACGCTCCGCCAACATGGGTGCCTCCAGCCACCACTTTTGGGAGAGCTCTGAATGGTCTTGGATTCAGGGCTGGAGCTCCTGAATGTGCCAGCACAGATCCTGAACACTCTTTTGCTCACTGGGTGAGGGCAGGGGACAAAGTGTGGCCCCAGTTGCCTCCATGTCTGGGGGAGCTGCTCCCCATGCACTATGAGCTCAGGGGCTTGGAAGGGCTATACCTGGGTTTGGGGACCATGGTGCCCCATGGCCATTCACCTACTCTTTTTTTTCTTCTCTGCCCCCACATTTCTGGTTTTTCAGGTATTACTTTAAGAAAGTGAGTGACGAGTTCGACTGTGGTGTGGTCTTCGAGGAGGTGCGGGAGGATGACACCATCCTGCCCATCTTTGAAGAGAAAATCATCGGGAAGGTGGAAAAGATCGACTAAGCTCCAGGGCTGCCGAGGCGTGAGAACGGGACTGTGAAAGACTCTGGGACCGGAGGAGAGGGCCTGGCACGGACGGTGGCAGTGCTGCTGCCACGGGCGTGAGCCCAGGGCGGAGGGCGGCAGCCTGCTCCGACACGGACCTGGGCAAGCTCCGGGTTGCTGGTGGACGTCGTTTCACCTCACGGACCTGCCAGTGGGAGCCTGGGCTCCCTCTCCATACCGAATATAAGTGTAATGTAGCAATGTACAGTGCATTAGAAAGTGTAATATGACCTTGTTTACTAAAGCTGCATATTTTTGATATATTGTAATAAAAGGAAAATATTTCCAATGTCACAGTGCTCTTATGTAAATGTAAAACATACAGGTACCACAGAACTCGCCCAAAGTGTACAGCCATCCGTCAGACTCCGTCTGCTCCTCGCTTTCACGGCACCCTGCCCTGGCGTCCCAGCCCCCCCCCGGCGTGGATGGCTCTGGGGCAGAGCAGCTCTCCCCCTGCCAGTGTGGAAGGGGCGGCCCGGCTCCCCTCAGAAGATTATTGAGCCATTTGGAACGAGTCGGTCTCTCACCTCCCTGGCAGTCTCAGCTGCTGGACATGGTAGGATGTTGGATTTTCTCCCTCCTGAGCTTTCTTGCGACCGAGTAAATCCCCAAGGGGTAGAAGCGTCAGTGCCAGCTCTCGGGGCTGGGGGCTTCCTGCAGTGCAAGGACAGGCTCGGAGCGGGGGTGGCAGGCTGGGTGCTGGCATCCCACGGCCTGCATGCTCGTCCCCCGCACCGTGTGCCCCTGGAGAAGGGTTCACTGCCCAGGAGGGTGCTGCAGCGCCGCAGGGGCCTGGCACCTGGTGCAGATGTGCCCAGGCACCTGATGCCGAGCTCCAGGCTTGGTCGGGAAACTCTTTTTAGGAAAAACATAATAGGGGAAGGAACTGATTAGACACTAAAGCTGAGGACAAAAAATGTCTTTTTATGAATCCTGCATCTTTTGTCGGCTTCTATGTCTCGGGAGGCAGCACGGGGGCACTGCAGCCTGCTGTCAAGAGCAGGGGGGTTATTGATGCCAGTTTGTGGGGCTGTGTAGGGCCAGGTCACCCAGTGGGGCAGCCAGCACCCTGGGAAGCTTCCTGGGCTTACTTGGACGCAAGAAAGCTGGGGGCTGCGCCGCTGCTCCCACCACCTTGCTCTGGGCTCTGCCCTGCTCTGGCACCAGCTCCTTCGGAAACCAGCCCTTGCCAGCCCGCAGAAACTGGGGTAGCCCATGAAGCTGGGGGGCTTCCACGCTGGCGTTCGCCCTGCCCAGCGCTGCTCTCGCCTGCAGCAGTGCATGGGAGCTGCTGCGGACCCTGTGGTGCGCACTGGGATGCGACTCAGCCTGTTGTATACGTCACCGAGTGCCTTTAAAACACGGTTCTGTGACTTGCCTATACACTACGTGAAGTCCAGCGAAATCCGCGATTGTTTTCAGCCCGGGAACAACATAACAAGCGTTTTTCCTCCCTGTTTTTTTCAGTTCTGATGGTGTTGTGTCTGGTGAGGTTGTTAACACGCCCGGGATTTCCGTCTTCCCCCTTTTTTTCTCAGGGGGGTCCCCTGTAAATATGTACAGTGGCCACGCAGCCCTGGCGACATCTCCTCTGCATTCTCATGTGCTGACTTGTACAATGATCTTTTCAAAGGTACTTGGATAAAATGAAATAAAACCCCACATCCCGCTGCCTGCTGCTTTCTTCCTTCCCTGCGGAGCAGACGCCTGGGCCCCCAGCAGCCTGCTGAGGTGGCCAGAGGATGGGGCAGGTCAGGCGAAGGGCCTGGGCACATGGTGGGGCTGGGGCAGCTCTGGGCTCCCTGGAGGGTGGCCGGGCAGGTCCCGGCCCCAGGGGACCAACATGTTGCCCCTGGAGGAATCACCCAGGGTCTGGGAGCAGCAGGCTGAGGGGAGAGGGGACAGCTCCAGGGTTTGGAAGGGACTCTGGGCGGTCCCAGAGGCTGCAAGCCATGCTTGAAAGGAGCATGTGGAGCCCTGTGTTGGGTTCTTCATGCCTTCCCTGGCTGTGACAGCAGCTCCTGGGGCTGGTGTGCGACTGGGGAGCCCAGGCCTGGGGTGGGAGGGCTGCCTGTGGGCCGTGAAGGACAGATCACCTGCACCCTGGTAGCAGCACAGAATGAAGGCTGGCGTGGAGAGTGCTGGGCTCCCCCCAGGGCCACGTCCTCTGTGCCCTTGGCCACCCCATGGCATCACAGGGCTGCCAGGACGAGCACCACGGCACACGTGGGGCCATGCTGGCTCAGCACCGCTGGGGATGCAGAGGGCCCTTTGCAGCACCGCTGCCCATGGGGGTCCAGGGCTGAGCTGCCCTGGGCGGGGGGGGGGGGCTCTGCCCGTCGCCTGCCCTGCTGTGTCCCCAGCACATGTGGGGGCTCCCCAAGACATGCACCCCATGGGGCTGTGGAGCTGCAGACACAGACCAGAGCCTGCATTGTTTCCAGGTTGTTTATAGCACACGCCCGAGTGGGACAGGGCTCACAGCTCATCCCGGGGTTCATCCGTCCCCAGCGGACCCGGCTCTTCCCTGTCCGTGCTGTTCTCGGGGGTCTTGGGCACCTGGAGAAGGCAGCAATGAGGCATGGATGGACATACACACACACACACCGGCCTGTCCCTGTCCCAGAACCACAGGATCTGTCCCCCTGCCCAGCAGAGGCTGGGGGGCCTCCTCAGGGTGGGTGGGGGTCCCTGCCTCTTAGGTGAGGGGACGTCACTCACTGCAGGTGGCTCTTCAGGTAGCGTCCCCCCGTTTTCTAGGAACTTGGAGAAGGTCTCCACATCTCGGGCACTCTTGTACTCAACCATCTGGAGCCATGGGGTGGAAGGGAGATGAGGGGTGACCCTGTGCCCCCGCTGCTGGCAGAGCCAGGGTGGCCCTACGAGTGCCCCCACCTACCTTCCTGCCCGGCCCTGCAGGGAAGTAGTGCAGGGTGGGGAAGCCGTAGATGGTGATGTTCTCCAGCTCGTTGGCTGTGGAGTCCAGCTCAGCGATGACGATGTCCTCGTGGTCCTTGTAGCGCTCACCCAGCTCCTCCCAGGCGGCCGCCATCTCCTGGCAGTGGGTGCACCACGGCGCGTCTGCGGGACGGGTGCAGTGCCAGGGGACGAGCCAGGGGACCAGGGCTCTGCCAGGGTCAGTGTGTGGCATCCCCTGGGCAAGGGGTTGGTGACAGAGCTGTCACGGTGTAGGGGTGCTGAGCCCCATGGCAGAGTTTGGGGAGGGCCTTCGGCAGCCCAGGCACTTACAGAACTTGACGAAGACGTTCTTGGTCTCATCAAACGCCACCTGCTCAAAGGTCTTCCCCACCAGGACTTTAACGGGACGTGTGTCCCAGTCCTCGGGGGGCTCCGCGCTCATCAGGTGGGGCTGTGGGGACAGATGGGACAGTCACAGCCTGGGCTGAGTGGTGCCAGGGCCCCATGGGGCACAGTGTGGGCTGGGACAGGGGGCCCCCAACATCCAGCCAGGGGTGCTCCTGTGGTGCCTTTTGGACCACCTCTTCCCCTCTGACACAGTCCCAGCTCTGTGTGTCTCCACATCAGTAATCTCCTGCCTCCTTCCCCCAGCGCAAATCCTCAGGCCTGGCAGCACAAGCATCAGTGAGCAAGTGTCTGGTGTTCACCACACACCAGATGAGGGCAGCATCATTAGGCTTCAGCGTTAACAGCCCATTGCTCACCATAGGGAAGCATCCTTGGTGCTGGCTGGCACAGTGCCGCACCCCTCACCTTCACCTTGCCGTCCAGCACCGCCTGGACAAAGGTGCGTATGGCCGTGTCGGAGAAGGAATCTTGGTCCATCCGGTACTTGCGGTTGTTCTCCATCTTAACTAGGCGCAGGGTGGGGGCATCAGCGGCCGTCAGGCCGAAGAAGGGCAGGACATCGGCACCATACCCAGTCACATCCACCACCACGAAGAGCACCTGGGTGGGGGGACAGGTGACACTGAGGCAGGGTGCCCCGCAGCCACCTCGCCATGTCCCCGCCATGGGACCTCCTCACCTCGCCCCGGAAGGCACTGGCGGCCACCCGGAAGCCATCCCACAGTGCCAGCTGTGAGGACGACGACTGGTTGAGGAAGAGCAGCATGTGGTGGGGGATCTTGGCACCAAAGATCTGGTCAGAGGTCTGAGGAGGAGGAGGAGGAGGGTGAGGGCAGGGGGGCCATGGCCCTGACAGGGATGGAGACAGGGATGGGCTGTACCTCGTTGGTGAACTCCATCACCAGCTCCAGGCTGTGGATGCGGAGCAGCTGGGTGAGCTCGGCCGCATCTAGTCCCCGTGCTGGGTCCACAGGGAATTCCATCCGTCCCTCGTCGAACTGCCAGGGTGGGGCCCAGTGAGGGCTGGGGCGGGGCCAGAATGGCCCCACCGACC